ATGTCCCCCACATAGTTCCGGGCAAAGACCTGGTTTCCTGGAACAAATGACCGTGGCGCGTTGGCACAGCCTGGGGGTTCAGCCACGGCAAAGTCCGGGTGCAGCCGGTCAAGCGGTGACCTGAGGCGGCGGCCCATAAGCAGTTCAGCAGGACTCCGTCCTGTGGTCGCATGAGGGGTGATGTGTTGCACGAACAAGTATTCGGCGACCCGCTCGTGCCAGTCTCCCCGGTCCAGGCATGCCAGTGCCTCTTTTGCCGAGCGCACCATTCTCTCCGCTTGCCTGTTGCTGGATGGATGAAAGGGTGCCGTTAGGGCATGGCGGATGCCCAGTCCCAAAAGATACCGCTCAAAAGTGCCTGACGTGAACTGCGGTCCGTTGTCGGAGACAAGAACATCAGGACACCCATGCGTCGCAAACAGTCCTCGCAGCACCCGGATGACAGCCTCGGTAGTGGTGGAGGGCATCAGGGCCACCTCCAGCCATTTGGAATAGGTGTCCACCACTACCATAAAGGTCCGGCCGTGAAAGGGGCCGGCCAAATCAATGTGCACCCTTGACCAGGGTGTCTTTGGCGTCTCCCAGGTGTGTCCCTTAGCTGCCGGTGGTGCAGGCCTCGATTCTTGGCACGCTTGACAGGCGGACACCCAGGCAGTGATGGCATCGTCCATGTTAGGCCACCAGACGTAACACCGAGCCAACGCCTTCATTTTGACAATTCCTGGGTGGCCAACGTGCAGAGCCTCCAGGACGCGTTGACGGAGTCTTTGGGGAATCACAACGCGGTCTCCCCACAGCAGACAGCTGCGATGAGCCGAGAGTTCATGTTGTCTGGTTGCGAAGGGCTGAAACTCCGATGCAAAAGGCCCTTGTGGCCACCCCCTCCACACCCAGTTGAGCACACGGCTGATGGTGCGATCCTGGGCAGATGCGGAGGCCACAGTGGCAGCCGATACAGGCGCTGCCGGAAGATCCTCAATCAGGAGGAGCGATGAAGCTGGAGCCGGGTCTTCCACAAACGCTGGAAGAGGACAACGGCTGAGGGCGTCGGCATGGCCCATCGATTTCCCTGAGCGATGGACGAGCCGGTAGTGGTAGGCAGCCAGGAAAACAGTCCATCGCAGCATGCGTGGCGAGAGGACCGGTGGAGTTGGACGATCACCGGCGAGGAGGCCCAGGAGCGGCTTGTGGTCAGTGATGAGGTCAAAAGTCCTGCCATAGAGGTATTCATGGAACCTCTTCACTCCAGCCACAGGTGCCAGTGCCTCCTTGTCGAGCTGGCTGTAATTCCGTTCCGTCGGAGATAGCGTCCTGGAAAAGTAGGCGAGCGGTGCTTCTCTTCCGTCTGGAAAACGGTGACTAAGGACAGCGCCGATGCCAAAAGGTGAGGCATCGCAGGCAAGGACCAGCGGCCTGGATTCACTGTACTGTACCAGCACATGGTCCGATGAAAGGAGAGCCTTGACCGCGTTGAAGGCTGCCGTCTCCCGATGACCCCAGGACCAAGGTGTCTTTGTGCTGAGGAGTCGGTGAAGAGACTCAGCCACCGTGGCTTTGTGGGGCAGGAACATGTTATAAAAGTTCAGCAGCCCCAGGAACGCCTGCAACTCCGTCTTGTTCTTTGGGATGGGGGCCTGCTGGATAGCGCGGATCTTGGATGTGGTCGGGTGAAGGCCGGAGGCATTGATAAGATAGCCCAGGAACTCTACCTGTGGAACGGCAATCTGGCACTTCTCCCTCTTTACCTTGAGCCCGGCCTCTTGGAACCTGGTCAGCACGGCACGGAGGCGCTCGAACAGCTGCTGGTGTGAGTCTGCGGACACCAAGACGTCATCAAAATATGGTACCACGCCCGGAAGCCCTTGCAGGAGACGCTCCATAAGGCTTTGGAAGATGCCAGGAGCCACACTCACCCCGAACTGCAACCGGCGGCAACGGAATGCCCCTCGGTGGGTGACGATCGTCTGGGCTTCAGCAGTGGCATCATCGACGGGCAGTTGTTGATAGGCTTGGGCAAGGTCCAGCTTAGCGAAGACCTTACCCTCACCCAGGGAATGCAGCAGGTGTTGGACAACAGGAACCGGATAAGCGTGCTGCTGAAGTGCCTTGTTGATCGTGAACTTATAGTAAGCGCAGATTCTCACCGAGCCATCTGGCATGACAGGCATGACGATGGGGGTTTCCCACTTGGCATGGTCAACCGGCTCCAAAACTCCTTGGGCGATCAGCTTGTCCAGTTGTTCGTCCACCTTAGCCTTGAGAGCAAAGGGAACCCGGCGTGGCTTTAGCTTGATGGGGGCGACTTGTGGATCAAGGCTAAAGGAGATGGGCGTACCTGTATATTGCCCCAAAGTGCCGTCAAAAACCTCGGCAAAGTCTTTGACCAGACCCTCAGTCTCTGCGTTAGAGATGCAGTTGATGCCGGTGACTTCCAGGCCGAGGGCATCAAACCAGTCTAGCCCTAGGAGGCTTGGCCGCTGACCTTCGACCACCACCAACCGGAGCAGGCCCAAAAAATCCTTGAAGGCGATCCGGAACCGGCCAACGCCTACCACGGGAATGTCGTTTCCCTGGTAGTCTCTCAGGTGTACGCGGTGAGAGTCGAGTTGCCTTTTGGACACTCTGGGTACCAGTCTTTTGATGGTGCTCCAAGACACGATGGACAGGGCAGACCCGGTGTCGATCTCCATGTCACATGGAGCTCCTTCAATGAGCACCGTGACGTTATGCTTGCGTCGCGTAGGCGAGTCGGTTTGGCCAATCGTGGTTCCAGACGGGCAGGGGCAGTTGGTGAGAGCGAAACAGCTTTCCTTGGCAGACTGGAGTGAAGACTTGGACTTGCGAGTCGGTGAAGGGGGAGTGTCAGACGGAGCCGATCGGCAGACCTTAGTGATGTGGCCCCTTCTGGAACACTTCCTACAGATGGCGTCTCTGAATCGACACTTGGCACGGGAATGGTTGCCTCCGCAGCCGGCACATTCTGGTTGGCCCTTGGACTTCTGTTGGAACTTCCTGTGCTCCCGCTTTGTCTGGTGCACATCATCGTCTTCACTGGAGGATGCCTCATCACTGCTGGCCTTTTCATGATGCACTGGAACTGGCTTCCTAGCAAGACGCGGGCTGCTGGACTTGCGGATCTCCTGGGCGGAGCGTTCAGCAGCTTCTGAGGCCACAGCCTCCTCAATGGCTTTCTGTAGCGTGAGGTCTGGCTTGGCAAGGAGACGCCGTTGCAGATGGATGTCCCGGACCCCGCAGACGATTCGATCCATCAGGGCATCGTCTAAGTCTCGGAACTCGCAGTGCATTGCAGCCTGTCTGAGGGCAGTGGTGTAGTTGCTGATTGACTCCCCCTCTGCCTGGTTCCGGTGGTAAAACGCATGGCGGGCAGCAATCTTGGACGGCTTTGGCGCGTAGTGGTTGCGGAGCTTCTCTTGGATCGTGTCCCATGGTGTTGCCTGGACTGCTTCAGGCGCAACCAATGCTCGGGCCGTCTCAAACACCTCAGGCCCACAGAGGCTGAGGAATAGGCCCCGCTTCCGTTCCTTTGATACTGCAGTCAGCTCGTTGGCTTGGAGGTAGCAGTCGAACCGAGCAAGGTAGGAGTCCCACGATTCAGAGGCTGGCGCAAACGGCGGTAGAGGCACAAGTGAAGCCATGATTCCGATGCCGGCGTGAAGGGCGATGGATGGAACACAGTGCTCTAGCCAGAACAGTCAGCTCTGAATTGGTTCTGTCCAGTGATTTCGCTCAGTGATTTCGCTCTGTGATTCAGCTCTGTGATTCAGCTCAGTTCAGAGGCTGGCCGCATCTGGCTGTGCTCTGATGTCCATCAATCCCATCCTCGTCGCCAGTGTTAAGTTGTGGGTTGACATAGCAGACGACACAGCGATTTCTCTAAAGCAGCTCTTTATTTTGTAAGCTGGAACAGAACTGAACAGCAAACAGCTCAGCCGGCCTGCTTTTATAGGCAGCCGGCTGTCAACATTGTAGCAACAACAACCCAGGGTTTCCCGCCTAAAATAACTGACGTGGACCTGAGTGAAAACTATCTACAATATCCCCCTGCTGGCCCAGGGTGAAAACTTCAGTACATAACACCCAGGACACCCCCCAACTTCTGAGGGTGGTGGAAGGCCCTTTCTTGGTATTTCCCCCTCAGCCTGCCTTATAAGGAAGTGAAATATTAGTGAAATAGTACTTGTGAAGTGATTTGAACCCTGAAAGTTCTATACGAATGACAAGAAGAAGAATAATAGTAAAGGGTCCCCGTGGAGCAGTCAGGAGGGCCTTGGAAAAAGTCATTACCTCTTAAACTTAATTTTCCTGAGTCCAGTGAGGCAAGAACCTGACCTAAATAAACATTAATTTCCTATACAGGGTCACACCCACACCATACACACAAAGTCCATTGAAAGCATGTGGCTTCCCAATATGAGAAATGTAGTTTGTCAAGGGTTCTGGAAACTGTAGCTGTCTGAGGGGTAAACTACTGTTCCCAGGATTCTTTGGGGGCAAGCCATGTGCTTTAAACGTATGGCATGGATGCAGGCCCGTGCAGAGCTTGTCTAAGGCATGGGCTGAGAGTCTGGAAGGCCCCTGGCAAGGCCCCCCTAGCCTGCTTAGCTCTCTGAGACTGGGGGCAAGTGTACCTGGCTGCCCCCCTCCCTCTGCAGCAGCCTGTGTGGATGTGACCTGAGTGGATGCTTACACGGCCAGTGAGGGAATGTGCTGGGAAAAGGGTTGGCAAGGCATCCTGCAGCCACTTTCATCTTTTGCCACCATTATGGCAGCATCCTAGCCAGGGTTCTGGAGAAGCTTTCCCCCCTGAGAACAAGCATGCATTAATCCTTCCTCTTCCCGCTGTAGGGCTGGTGGCCCTTTGGTCTGTTGTGGTGTGTGCTGTGGAGAGGTACCTGGTGGTTTGCAGGCCATTCAAAGGCATCCAGTTTGGGAAGAAACATGCCCTCCTGGCGCTCCTGTTTACCTGGCTCTGGTGTATCATGTGGACTCTGCCACCGCTTTTTGGTTGGAGTAGCTACGATGTGGAAGGCATTGCCTCAAACTGCGCTTTGGCCTGGCACAGAGAAGACTGGAACAGCCGCAGTTACCACTTGTCTCTCTTCGTGTGGTGCTTCCTGCTTCCTTTGGCCCTTATCCTCTGGTCCTACGGCAAGCTCATTTACGTCCTCAAACAGGTGAGTCGTCCTCAAACAGGTGAGTCACCCACCCTGCTTCCACATAGCAGAGGAAATCATTCACTAGTTCTGCTAAGAGTCTGGAATGCATGTTCCAAAAGGGTTCTTGCAACTGATTTCTACAGTTGGGTAGCCTGAGGCCTAGAAGAAAACAAGAGAATTTCTGCTTTGTACCATACTCAGGACGCTTGCAGGCCCTTGCTACTTTCAAGTGAGGTTTGGTCACATACTGGCAAATTCGAGTTGTGCAAATAAAGTTGATTTGGAGCTTTGGCCCAACAAACCCACTCCCTCCCAAAACTGGTTGCAATAAGGCAAGCAATGGGAAAATGCACTGCAAAGAGTGGGATAACTTTTGTTTGACGTAATACCATCTAACCTCCTGCAAGTAAATGGGGATGAAGGCTCAGTAAGTAGCTGGTGCTGTCTAACACCCCAAAAACTTTGTGCTAACAAATCGGGATGAAGGCTCCATAGACAGGTTGTCTTCTGATTGTTCCATTAGTATAAGCATTTCCGCTTCCCAGATGGAACAATCTAGCCTTCCCTTCTTTTATGCTTGTTCTCCCTGTCCAGAGTGGATTTGGGGGAGGAGCTGGGGGAAGTCCCATTATGGTATTGGGAGACCTTGCTCTGGCTTCCAGTTGCAGGACAGCTCAATTTAATCCAGCCCTGAGTTTTTAAATGGAGGGTGAGGAACATTTTTTCAGTCTGAGGGCTGCGTTCCTTTCCAGGCAGCCTTCTTCCTTTCAAAGTACACACACACAGAGAAAACCTTGCAAAGCCTTTACATGCATTTAAATGGAGAGCTATTTCAATGAGTGCAAAAGGTTTGTGAGCAGGGCCGGATTTAGGTTTGATGAGGCTCTAAGCTACTGAAGGTAATGGGGCCCTTTATATGTCCAGCTGTCCTTTGCCAACAACAAATTGTCGCTGTTTTTTGTGTTGAATATATGCTATGTGGTAATTTATGGACCTAATAGGTATCTAAAGCCATTTGCACCTAACAAAATATGTATTTTATCAAAGTAATTGCTGAACTGAAATACAATTAAGAAATATATTAATACTGAAATACAATTAAGAAGAAGTATATTAATAGTATATTATATAGTATATTAATAGGGACATGGGTGGCGCTGTGGTCTAAACCACGGAGCCTAGGGCTTGCCGATCAGAAGGTTGGCGGTTCGAATACCCGTGATGGGGTGAGCTCCTGTTGCTCGGTCCCTGCTCCTGCCAACCTAGCAGTCTGAAAGCACATCAAAGTGCAAGTAGATAAATAGGTACCGCTCTGGCGGGAAGGTAAACGGTGTTTCTGTGCACTGCTTTGGTTCGCCAGAAGCAGCTTAGTCATGCTGGCCACATGACCCGGAAGCTTTACGTCGGCTCCCTTGGCCAATAAAGCGAGATGAGCGCCGCAACCCCAGAGTCGGCCACGACTGGACCTAATGGTCAGGGGTCCCTTTACCTTTACCCATATCAATAGTGAAATAATTATTAAGCTCTAACTTAAAATGATTATTATTCATAACAAACTTAATAATGCAAACACCTTTTTTCCTTTTGATTTTTTTGGGGGCCCCCAAGAGAGTGGAGCCCTAAGCTATTGCTTGTTTAGTTTATACGTAAATCCGGCACAAATTGTGAGCCTGGAGCTGAGTCTTCCACTGACATGAATGGAGACAGAATCCCCTTGCACAGCAGTCCCTTTATGTATCCGAGCTCTGGATCAGATTAGGAACAGAGGAAGCTGCTTTACTCTGAGTCAGGTCATTGGTATCATCTAGCTCAGTATTGTCTACACTGATGGCAGCAACTCACTGATTTCAAGTGGGGTCTTTCTTAGCCCTACCTGGAACTGCTGGGGATTGAACCAGGGGCCTTCTGCATGCAAGGCAGGAACTCTGCCACTGAGCCACAGATTTTAGGATCAGGCCAACACTGAAGAAATCTAGGCAAAATTCCATGATGTTTCAACTTATGTTTAACTTGAAAAGGTATGTGTGGGTGGGTGTGAAATGGCAAAAGAAAAAGAAAGAAAGAGCAACAACCGATCGTTCAGTCTTGGGGAGACAATACATACTTAGGCTCCAGTAACAACTGTCTGACCTTAAGGCATTTGAAGGAGGCATGTCCTTTGCACTAATATGACTTGCAGCTATTTATAGGCACATTATTTCAGGGCATGCTGGGAATACTTAGCGCAGGCATTGTTTAGCAGCTGCCACCGCTTTCCATTCTATATTGTTGTCTCTGGAGTCCCTCCTCTTTGACTCGTTTGCATCCATGGATGGCTGCCGCTGTTTTAGTTGAAGCATTTAAACTGCTGCAAAAAGCAGAGAAAGCAGCGTATTCATTTCTGTGAGCCACTGGAAGAGCCCACAAAGTCTTAAGACGCAGAAGATGAAAAGAAGAAATCGCCCCGTAGCCTAAATCTTCATCTGACCATTTCAGCAGTTCCTTCTGCTACCAGTCCCCAGTCTTATAGTAATACATTGCATTTCATCCTCTCTCTTCTTAGGTGGCAAAAAGTGGCATAGCCCAGAGCAATTCGACTCAGCGGGCTGAGACTCAGGTGACCAAGACGGTTGTCATTATGATCCTGGCCTTTCTTCTCAGCTGGGTGCCTTATGCTGCCTTTGCCCTGACCAGAGTGGTGAATCCAGAAGTCATCATGGGTCCCCAAATCCAGAGCATCCCTATGTATATGGCTAAAACAGGCACCGTATACAATCCAGTCATTTACATATGTCTGAATAAGCAGGTAAATCTACCTTGCAGTGTTGCAAATTAAACATGTGTGCTTTGTCGTTTACCTAGGAAGAATAATATGACCTTGTTGTGATTGGCTTAAAGGCAAAATGTTCTGGATTATGGCACTGATTATATTCACCAAATCAGTTAATAGCTCACGCCCTGCGTTTCCTAGTTGTTGTTGCTGCTGGTATCCGTCTGTCTCAAGAGACAACCAAGTGTGCCTTAAGGGATGAAGCCAAACCGCTGCACTAGCAACACCAGTGACCTCCCCAGGGTGCAAGTCTGAGCAGTGTGTATGGAGGTCCTGGGCTGCCCAGATGACAAGAACTCCCTCCGGGCCTCACTGACATGGTCCAAAGAAAAGCAGAGCAATACGTTTGGCACCAGCTTGGCCGCAGGAGTTGCTGGAAAGAGGGCATACAAGGTACCATCCAACCATCTTAGGGACTCCACTCTGGATTTGTGTAGGGTGTACTTCTTAGCCTTTTCTTCTCCCGAAGATATCCCGCAAGGGATAGCAGCACCAAAGTGACCTCCCTGGAGTGCAAACTACCCCAGAAGGAGAACAATATGTCCCCCACCAGAGGTACTACACCTTCCAAGCTGTAGAACAGAGATAATATCTGATGGCATGACTTGCAAATTTGAAATGTGAATACATTTCTAGTAGGCCTCAGATGGTCCAGCCTGTTAAAACAGAATCATAATCAAGTTTATTTACGTGCTCCTTTTATGAATAGTGCTAAAAATGGCTCACAGGAACACTAAACTAATTGAGATTGCTTTAACGCTGCTTATCTGACCTCCTGGCTGGATTAGTAGCATTCTAGCCAAATTGCCATCGAGAAGCAGGATAACTTCAAGGAAGTTTATTGTATTTCTGTCCTTAGAAAAGTGGACCAATGCCAAGATGAAGCATTCAGTTTAAAAGATGTGCTTGTGAGAACATTAAGAAAGAGTAGAGAAGGTGCAAGATTGCCATTGAACCAGATTTAAAGCTGCCCCACTGATAATATCTGCCAAAAGCCTGCTTTTCTTTTATTAAAGTAGCCTCAACTGTAGCCAGTTGTTCAGCTGCATACAGTCACATGCTATAAAATGCAATTTAGATGATATAAAAATAATAACAATGCTGGTATTTCTTCTCTACTTCTGTGAGAGGGGGCAGTCCTGGAGAACTCTTCATGATCACATTATTATCTAGGTTGGGCGAACTGATATAGTAGCTTCATGGCTCTGAATCAAGACTGTTTTAAAACTGCTGCGGTGGCAGTATCTAAGGCTCTGCTTGTGTCTTCTCCCTCCCTTCCTTTCAGTATCGAGAAAAAGTTGTGACCTCCTTAGCATGCCTACAGAAGTGTTCGATCAGTAAGTACAGTAGGTCAAGATCTCTGGCTACAGCTCTGAAGAGACTACAAGGGAACCAGGTCAGCTGCAACACGAACAGGGTAGCCCCTGAGGGTGGACTGAACATCAGCAAGAACCTCCTCTTGCCAAACATAAACTACTGTAGTGACAAATCCTTCTCTGAATAGCCTCATATGCCGCTGCTTGTTCTGCTGCTAGTATCTGGCACAAGAATTGGCTCATGATCTTCACTGACCCACACTAGGATGGGTACCGCATGTGGATAACAGTTAACACTTGGGTGGAAGGTGGAGTTGGGCTATAGCAAAAATGGAAGTCACTGCCAAGACCGAACATTCTACAGGACACGGCTGCAATTGAAAGCTTGATCGCACCGGGTTTTTCTGTTGATTGACTGGATGCTCTGTCTGCAGTGTAATAGTGGAGAAGCATGCATACGTTTCCGTTCAGTATTGCTGCAGTTAGATAATTGTACACCAGAGTAGCAAGGTATAGTTTCCCTACTCCTGGCTGCCACATGTCTGGAAGTCGCTGAAAACTGGTAGTGAAGAGTATGGAATATTGCTCTTTCAGAACATCTAACTTATCATCCCAGAATAATAGAAGGCATGGCAAAGCACAACGAATTTGATAACATTTGGCTTCCCTTTGTAAGTTTTATTCATAGGTCAAGTGCAACTCAAACCTTTCAGTGTTTCTCCGTAAAAATGACTGATATCTTGCTGCATTGTGACTGCAGGTCATGATTTTGCTGTCAATGTTGCATCTTCAATCACTGATCCTGTGTTACCTGTTTTATTGTTTCTGTTAAAACCAATTATATATATATATATATATACACACACACACACACACAGCATGACATCTTTTGGCTCAAAGGGATTTAGATGATGTTCTCATGCCAAGGTTATTCTACGAGTCAAAAGTGTCCAGAATGACAAGTGGGCAGAGGGCAACCTGATCCCTTTGGATTGCCAAAGCTAGCAAGCCGCCTTCTCTTTTCACACAATGAAGCTCTGGCTTTAGAGTGCATTATTCCATGTTGCATTGTGTCACACGAGGCTATTTTGAGCTGGAAGCTGTTGAGACCATATTTGGGAAAGTCTTGCACGGCAGGACACAGCTGAAGGTCAGTGATGACAAAAGCCTTCCAATAAAGGCAGTTTCCCAATTGCAATGGAAGCAGGGACACAAACCCTTTTGAGTCCTCTATTGGCACTCACTTCAAAAAATGCTATTCAGTGTCACCGTTAAAGTTTCAAGAACTTAGAAAATATTCAACTGATTGGAGGAGAAAAGGAGGATTGAGCCTATATGTGTAGTTAGCTTGTTAACAGCTGGGTTCTCTGTCTCCAGCTTGAATGGAATTCTAGCAAACTCCATCACCATTTTATTACCCATGCCACCTCTTTTTTAAATCACAGAATTTAAAAATGGCCCAGCACATGTACAAATGAAGAACATACAGTAAGAGAAAGCAGAGCAGAAAACACAGGATTTGAAATGTACAGCTTAATATGTTACTATTTAGTGTAATAAGAGAGTACTAGCTGAGCAATTTATGGCACAAAGACAGCTACCACATAATGCATATAGTTTGCAAATAATAAAAAATAATTAGTAATTAAATGATAGAAAGGGACGCAAGTGGCATTGTGGGTTAAACCACAGAGCCTAGGACTTGCCGATCAGAAGGTCAGTGGTTCGAATCCCCGCGATGGGGTGAGCTCCCATTGCTCAGTCCCTGCTCCTGCCAACCTAGCAGTTCGAAAGCACGTCAAAGTGCAAGTAGATCAATAGGTACCGCTCCGGCAGGAAGGTAAACGGCATTTCTGTGTGTTGCTCTGGTTTGCCAGAAGCGGCTAAGTCATGCTGGCCACATGACCCGGAAGCTGTATGCCGGCTCCCTCGGCCAATAAAGCGAGATGAGCGCCACAACCCCAGAGTTGGTCATGACTGGACCTAATGGTCAGGGGTCCCTTTACCTTTACCTAAATGATAGAAAAATATCAGCCTAGGTGCTGTTCATCATGATTAGGGGTTATGTTATGGATGGGGAAACTGCCCCTCCAGATGCTGTTACTCCAACTACCATCATCCCTGACCATTGGCCATGCTGGCTGGCACCAAAAGGAGCTGACCCACTAACATCTGGAGGGCTGTAGGTTCCACAGTCTCTGGTCCTTTTGTGACACAAGGGAAGGAGAAAGTTTGTAAGCTTGAGGCACATTCTTGTAATGCAGGCCAATGATCACAGATGATGGTGTTGCAACTCACCTTCATCTGGAGGGCCGTAAGTTAACAATCTTCAATATACGGTAATTCCAGATCACAGCATTACATCTAAATTAAGTCAGCTATCTCAAAGCTCAGTTGAGAACAATGAAGTGGTCACATGTACGTAAGTTTATTTCTGTCACAGGAGTGGGACATCCCTTAAAAGTATAGAATTCTAGAACCCTACTTAGTGTCATTCAGCTAAAGCATGGGTAGGCAACCTAAGGCCGGGGGCCGGATCCAGCCCAATCGCCTTCCAAATCCAGTCTGTGGACAGTCCGGGAATCAACCTGTTTTTACATGAGTAGAATGTGTGCTTTTATTTAAAATGCATCTCTGGGTTATTTGTGGGACATAGGAATTTGTTCAATTTTTTTCCTTTCCAAAATATAGTCTGGCCCCCCACAAGGTCTGAGGGACAGGGGACCTACCTCCTGCTGAAAAGGTTTGCTGACCCCTGAGCTAAAGGGTGGAACTTGGGCTTTGTCCTAAGATTATTAGGAGTCAACATGGTATCTGAAGATCCCATAAAGCAGTGATTACTATGCATAGTCACTTCAGGGGCAGATAGGATCTATAGGGCTGAGGTATTGTTTAGGGGCATTTGTTGCTATCATTGATATTCTTTTTTAGCTCTTATCATGACATATGGAAATATGGATTTTGTTGTGTACTTTTTGATGTGCTTTATTATGACTTCTGTAATTGTGTAAATCTTTTCATCTTGTTAGCTGCCTTGAGCATTGGTTTAACTATGGAAATGTGGCGTACAAACGACAGAAAGGCAGTATTATATAGCTTTGTCCCTAAATGGCTCCTCTGTTTATGTAAGATAGGGGGCTGCTTTCTGCTAAACTCCCCTTCCATATATTCATTTGTTCCCACTAGACCTTCAAACCGCAGATTTTCTGGAGTGGACTGAGGAAAGCCCCATTTATTCCCGAGTTAGGAACCAAGCCTGCCTTAGATTACATGCTACAAGTAATCAAACCTTCTTCATTATATTTCAGAGATAAAAGGTAGTTCATACCTAGTTGCCAAGACTTTCCATCAGAAATTCTCATATTCCCATTTTAAATTGGATGGCATTGCTCATATGCTGAAGGCACCACCTTCTGGACAAATGGCATTATAGCAACACACACCCTGCTTATAGCTCATGCACGTCTCTACGGAATAGAGGCTATTCTATTTAAATGTTTACTCAACTTATTGTTGGTATATTCTTCCATATTGAACAGTAGCAAGGGGATTTCATACTGGAGATTAATTCTGTAGGCTCAATAGTTGTTTTAGTAACTTGGGGGCACTAGACACTATGCACACAGGGTGTAAAACCAAATTGTTAACTACAGGCCAAAAGGGCATGAAATGTGAGAAGTACAAATTGACAATTCCACATGAAGCTTAAATGAATAGTGACATTCACAGCATCATTGTGTACACTGCACTTGTGTACTTTTAAATTTCATATATAATTGTCACACTATAGCTGTTTTGGTCCAACTGTTTACATTTTCAATAAAAATAGAAAAGGAACAAATGTGTTCTCAAAAAGTAGCAACAATTTTTGTCAGTATATTCCATGACAAAGGTTCCTTTTTCAGGCTCCACCTTAAAATTCCAAGTACCAAACATATACAAAATAGATGAGGAAAATAGTTAATTTGGATATGCAAAAGAAAAAAAAGAGGGTAAATTTTTGGAACTGCTGAAAGATCGGAAGGGAAGTTTGATATGTGATAATTGTTTGTTGTTTTGTTGTTGAAATGTTTGTAATAAATGAAAATTATAAACATATATGAAAAAATAAAATTCCAAGTGCCATATAGTAGCTGAAGCAGTTTGGACACACAAGCAGCCTGGTGTTGCCTTCGTAACATCATGAAATGTTCTGAAATGCACTCAGCTATAATAAAGCTTAGTTGGCACTTGTTGAGAGTACGTTTGTCCTTTCTGCATTCTCTCATTTCTTGGCCTCCCTCTCTGTATGCTTTTATATGTGATACATGTACATAGCTGTCAACGGAGTTGTAACAGTTCATGAATCAGATGAAGTCAATTATACAAGAGCTTCAGCTTTTAAGGTGCTACATTGTTTTTGCTGTAGCACACTGATACAGCTACCCTTTAGGACGTTGTTACCATGTGAAATTCATCACTCCTAGCTCTTCCCACCAACTGCAAAAGGTCCCAAGAAACTATGTAAATTCTTTCACTACCATCTGTGTAACTGGGCTCCCCTATCCCAATCCTTTTGTAGGGCTCAGGATTTCCACTCCCTGGCAGCATGCAACCCTTTGTGCTAAGGTTAAGCCCTGCACTGCCTGAGGGTTTCTCCTCCCACCCATCCCACCCCCTCCAATTTCCCATGGCATACCCCACGATATGGAGCAACCCCTGAGCAATTTTAATACAGAAGTATCTCGGGTTAAGAACTTTGCTTCAGGATGAGAACAGAAATTATGCTCCGGCAGCGCAGCAGCAGCGGGAGGCCCCATTCGCTAAAGTGGTGCTTCAGGTTATGAACAGTTTCAGGTTAAGTACAGACCTCCGGAACGAATTAAGTACTTAACCCGAGGTACCACTGTACAGGAAAATAAAGTGGGACACTTTCCCCCCCAAAGGAATAAAATCACCCTCAGAAGGTGTAATCTCTTGTAGGGTCAAAACAGAAAGCACGACATCCACACATTACACTCAATTTTATTTATACAAAACGCCTTGAGTGAAAAGATGAAAACAACTGCTAGTCAGTTGCCAAGCAAGTCAGTCCCTTTTGCCATCTGGAGGCAAGCTGGTTACTTGGCATTCTTAGCGTTGTTGGCCCGCATTTTCTTCAGCCCTTTCTTGTTGTGTTTCTTTGCAAAACGCATGTTCCGCAGGAACTTGGGATCAACCTAGAAAATGGGAGGGGGGGAGAGATATAATTTGTTTAGCAACTCATATAGCTGGGTACAAGTCCTAGTATTTACGGTGGGACAACTGACCGAGGTATAATACTACTGGGCAGTCCTGTTCTTCAATAAAGCAGCCCTTTGGTCTCGTCAGGCTCACCAACCTGCTCTGTCTGGCTCAAACCTGCCGGCTTTTCCAGTAGTCTTATGCATCTCTGTCTCTGACATCATGTTACGGTACTGTGATCAACCGCATAAAGAACCATGGTGATGGCCATAATTTAAGTGGCTATTGGTAATAGCTGGCAAACAAAAAGATAAGTTTCCAAACAAAATGTAGGTGAGCAGCCCATCTAGCAAGAAGGGCAAATAAGAACATATCTCCTATATAGGCATATATTCACAAACTCTAGACAGCAGACAATACTTGCTTCAAAAGAGACATTAGAAAAGCACTGTTCCAGGTTCTAAAAACTGCCAAGCAGGTTAGTTTCCAACATTTGTGAGCAATGAAGAAACAGACGTTTAGGAGTGTTATCAGGCTGGTTCTTTCACCGCGAGAATACCCCTTTTCCATTGCACCAAGAGACTATTCTGTATCACTCATTTCTATCCAAATAAGAATTTTAAAGCCAACTTGTAGTAAGAGGTTCCTCAACAATAGCCAAATAAGAAAAAGGCTATAGCAAAACACCAGTAATATTCAAACTCAGGCCCCCTCTGCACTATACATTTAAAGCAATCACCATACCACTTTATGTAGTAACGGCTTTCCCCAAAGATTCCTGGGAAGAGGTATTGATTGTTAAACCACTCTGAGATCAGTAGCTCTGTGAGGTGAACAGGTGTCTCCCAGCAACTCTTGGCACTTAGGAAACTACACTTCCCAGGAGTCTTTGGGGGAAAACAGGACTATTCAAAGTGGTATGATACTGCTTTAAAAGTATAGAGCAGATGGAGCCTCAAGTGTACGAAGTGCAGGTTGTATTTTGCAAGATTCAGTGAATATGACACAGACTTTATTTATCTATTTACAGAATTTACAGTGTTCTCAATTCTACAGTGAGGAACATTGTAATGAAAATAAATAGAGAAAAACAATATACCACAATTGCAAAATCATACAAAAGGACCAATAAATAACTAAATAAGTCTATCATAAATTAATCAGGCAAAATTATGACATAAAATTTCCAAATAAAGTGACACTTAATGTCATTCTCTGTTATCATACAATCTTAGCATGCAAGGCCTCTACAAGCCCACTAGTAATGGGTGAAAAGGAAAAGGGTGCTGATGAGGAAAAATGCACTTACCCCCTTCAGAGATTCATATCTATTTGATCTGGGTTTCTTAATGCCATTTCTGTGCCACTTGCGAGCTGTTAAGAGATACCATTTTCACATTAAGGATAAAGGCTGTTGATATTGTCCATCACCCTTTGCCAGTTTGGTGCCCTTCAGATATTTTGGGCTACAACTCCCATCAGCTCCAGTGAGCATGACCATTCCAGGCTAGCTTTATCTGCCTCTGTCACACATGTGGGCTTTCAAAGTCCTGTGAGCTAGTGTAGAAGTGCCTAGTTAAAATCCTGAATCTGGCCAGTCCCTAGTAAGCACCAGTTTTGGCTATCTATCAAGGATGGCCAAAATTGGTGGGCTCTTGATACGTGAAGCACTCAATGTCCATACAAACAAATGCTATTGGATCTTGTTTTCGAAGCATGTGCTTTCTCTGTATAACTTTCCCTTTGAGGCATGAAATTGCATTGGGAGGCAGGAAACGTCAACTTACTGTCAAATGTTCTCTGTTGCCACCCTTACAAATACCATCCTGCAGCACTCTTAAAAGGTGCATTCCTGCCTACTTTTTACTTGAAATCTGTTTTAAAGGAATGAGTGTCACTCCAATGTGTATGCAGTTAGGACTAAACTGTAAATCTTCTATTCTTTCCCCAACTTCTGACAACACCTACATTGAATTAAACCCACAAGCCCAGTGGCCAATGAAGCCCATGCTCTTCTATTACTCCAAATGGATACTACTCATGTAATATTATTAGTGGGAGAAAAACATGCTTGCCTACCACTGTTGGAGACCATTACATTCAAGGATGGTTTCCAAATGAGGATCATCTGGAAGCCCTGAAAGAGCTAAACTGGGGATTATTCTGGTTATGCTATGATAAACACAAGAAATGTGGGCAATTTTGGGGCCAGGCATTGACATTTATAATTGCCATGGCAAGGATGAAGCTGTTGCATGATCAGCTTTCCTCCATCAGTTGAAGATGGCAGACTCCCTGACCGACTTTCCTGAATGAAAGTGGTTTTCTGAAGCCTCCTTGGGATGTGTTTACCTCCATCAAGGCAATGGGGGAGGGGAAAGAACCAGACAACAATTGCTTGGCTAGCAGGACCAGCCAAAACTTAAGAGTGCCCTATATGAGACTGTTTACCCACTACAATTTCAGTTAGATTACAAACTAAATATAGGATACAGATATTCAGTTTTATTAAACTTGAATCTAGATTTCATGTATATTAATGTTTGCTTATAGTTATTTTGGATCAGACCAGTTATTCCTGGCACACTATGCAAGTCAAATGAAAAACATGATAGCAAAAACAATGAATTATATTTCAGCGCCCAGTTATTTGGAATTGTTAGTAAAGGGATGTGGATCCCCTCACTTATAAATACTGAAAGTTTAATCAAGATATATGTTGTTTCAAGAGGTCAACTACAGTTACCATTACTTAAAACTCTTCTGCATGCTCAGAGTTGCTAACTACATGCGTCCAACTATACCTTGATAAACAATTACTGACCACTATTCACTCCCTGACCTCTATGCGAACTTACACTGGTTGTGTGTGGTGTGGTTCTTGGACTTGGCCATGGCTTAAACCTGTGAAAAAGAATAAGAATCAGAAGTGTTCCTTTCAAACACAGAATAGCAGAAAGCCCCAAGCTCCTCAGGAACAAGTTTATGTAGAAAAACTTTAAAACCAATATCCATCTAACATCCTAAACACCTTTCTAAGATCTGCTTTGCTGAATCAGACCAAAAGGCCACCTAGTTCAGTATTATGCATCCATGCAGTTAAATGTCCCTGGGAAGTCATGAAGACAACCAGACTCCACAGATACCTGGCAATTAATTGAGACTACAGCTGCCATCCAAAACACACCAATAGGTTTGGCTGACCTCAGTGTAGCCATGCACACTGTCACAGGTCTGTAGCCGCAGAAGATGAAGCTCGCACGGCACAAAATGCTGATATTTCTCCACGCATTAGTATAATCTGTAGTGGCCGCAATATCACATGTGATAGGGATTGTTACACAGGAGCGAACTTCATATAAACTTGGATGCTGGATCCAATATCCTGCCAAGATACAAGGTCCAGACACCCCACAGGACAACCAAGCGGGACCCCGACCGTGCCAAGGGCGATACCGGCCGCGCTTCAGCCACCCTTTCTTCCCATCTTTTCATCCATCCACCCACTCCACCTTTCAGACGCTCCAAGCTGATCTCATTCCCATCCCTCGGGCACAGAGCACGAAATGGCCTCTTAGGAAGGCGTCCCACCCCTCCTGCGCCGGCCATTCGCTGCTCTGGGGCATCCCTCGGGAAGGATGGAACCGGATCGAGAGATGGAAAGCTCACCTGAAGCTCCGCCACAGTTCAGACCAAAACCGGAAGAGAAGCGACACTCGTAAGGCATTCTGGGAAGCCACAAAGCCCGGGCATAGACGCAGAACGGGCTGCCTTATTGTGTTTCCGGCTGGAAACACGAGCCTCCGTTAAAATGGTTCCGCAGGAGAACATCCTCGCCTTCCGTTCCTTCCGCTGTTTATTTCCTTTTCTGAAATAAAGAGTGGACGAGCTTTGGCAGGATTTTCGCGGAGCTGAGTGTGTTCCGATTTGAGATAACAGGGCGTTCCGATAAAAAGCTTCGTTGCTTCTCTGGGCAGGTTTCTTTCCTTATGGTTTATCATTGCATTGTTGCCTATCATAAGATCCACCGCAGCCCATTATAGCGTCAGATCAAGGGCGGAAAAAAGCATTTTTCTTTCTTTCTGTGGACAGAAACTGGTTTACCAGAGGCAAACCCACGACTGCAATCTCCCATGTTTTCAGAATCAGAGAAGGTTTCGCTCTGAACTCACACCTTTAAAAATTTTGCCTCCCCCGTCCAATAATGGTTTTTTATTTTTCTTTTCAATTTGAACGTTTTAAAATACATTTCGGTAACCCTTTTCTTGTGATCAGGAAGGCATGCAGGCATTTGGCTCCTCGAGTTTGGCGTTTTAGGAAAGCTATCCGATACTGTAAATGTTGGCACGTTTCGAAAAACATTCCCTGACGTTGTATTTTGTATTGCAAATTTATGTCTGAAAGGAAGTCATTCTCATTAACTCAGAGTACACAAATGTGGTGGCATTGTGGTGTTTATTCTCACAGTAACCCTAAGCAGTAATGCTGGTGAGTTGCTCAATTCATTAAAGACTCGACTTTTCTACAGTGTTCCTTGTAATACCATTCAACAGCATAGTCCTGCAAGATTGTCAGTTTAAACAGCATACTCAGTTATTACTAGAACCGGTATGGTATAATGCAGGGTCTGTAATGGTAAGCTTGAATGTGTGAAATGCAGCTTTATTTCCTGCCTCAGCTGTGATATTCAGTGTGCCAACCTGAGGTCCATGTATTCTCTCACCTGGGGGCACTATTTGATCACAATAGTCAAGGGAGGCTGCTAAATTTTATAATTGGTTGGACATATTAATAGATTATTGTTTCTGATGTTCTGTTTTAGTGTGGGGGGGGGCAGAACATCAGATTTGTATTGGCTTTTATTGATTTAAGGGGGCAACTGCCCCCCTTCACTCTAAGCTGTCACAGGTTCTAAGCTGTGTGCCTCAATCTGTGCTCCACCTGTATATTTTCTGTAACAACCTCCTTCCAAAGGGATGCAAACCTGGGTACGTGCTGCACCCCTGGAACTACTCACCATCTGTAGAAACCAAGGAAGATTATCACCATAATGCCTTTTTGAACCTCCCAGGGCATCTGGCTAGCCACTATTGACAGGAGAATGCTGAACTAAATACAGTGGTACCTTGGGTTAAGTACTTAATTCATTCTTGGGGTCCGTACTTAACCTGAAACTGTTCTTAACCTGAAGCACCACTTTAGCTAATGGGGCCTCCTGCTGCTGCCGCGCCGCCGCAGCACGATTTATGTTCTCATCCTGAAGCAAAGTTCTTAACCCGAGGTACTATTTCTGGGTTAGTGGAGTCTGTAACCTGAAGTGTCTGTAACCTGAAGCATATGTAACACGAGGTACCACTGTAGACCTTAGGTCTGATACAGTAAGACAGTTCATGTACTGTACTGTATCTGTATTATTATCTCCCCTCAAAATGTAACAATATGTCCTGCTTCATGCCCAACACATACAGAAAGAGACTCTTACTTTTAAATAAGAAAGCAATTTTTCTTCAAGCAAGTAATGGCACAGGCTTGGCAGCAGACACAGAGTTCAGGAATCAGGCAAGACAGTCACAACTGGATGGAAGCATCTAAGGTATCTCAGCAGTTTCCATTTCCCCCATGTTTGTCTTTCAAAGAGGGGGCTCACACACAATATTCACTCAGTTTGCAAGAATATCAGGTTTGCAAATGTGTGTTGCTCTGGGATGCATTGGTCTGCTTGCATCTCTAGAGATGGCACCTGGTCCTAGGTAACAATACTGCATCCTCCTGTTCAGGCTCCTGATCACTGCCTCCCCCACCCCCCAGCTGCCTACAGCCCTCGCCAGTCTCCACTGAGACTCTGCTGTGCTGGGAGATTAGGGGAAGTTGTCTGCATGTCTGCTCCCCCTTCAGAAGCATCAGAAGTTAAAGCACACTGGGGAGAGCTTCCCTCCTCTGACTCTGATTCCCATCTTTCCCCTCCTCCCCCCGTTTCCTCCTCCTCTTGTATTGGGGCCTGCCAACCCAAGCCCGATCCTGACAGTGCCATGGGACTCAAGACATAATGGAATGACAGCATAAAGCTGTAAATATGTCTGCTTTGCCTGCCATCTCGTAAGTGGTCCTACTGAAACCAAGCAGGGTTCTGAACATTTAACATAAATTGTGAGTGCAAATATTTGCAGGTTTGAGAGGCACTTTGCAGATGATCATGGATTGAACACACCGTTTTAGGAGTATGACTGGAAAGTTAAGAAATGTCCTAATATGCATGTATGTTAGGGACAGTTTGTTAAGATGTTTCTTGTCCTCCCAGATAGCGCTGTTGTCTGAGTTATTTGTCACAAGCACACACTGCAATTTTTCATGCTGCCACAATCTTCCTCAATGTGGATTGAGTGATAGTGAGCAAAATTTGTTTTTGTACTTGAAAGACTCAGACAACATGATTGCCATGAGCACAAAGCACTCCAGTTGTTGTTGTTTTTGCTCCTCCTGCTGCTGCTTTTTAAAATTGTTGATGGTTTATTGTTTGATTATATTGATACTGATACTGGTCATGTTTTGTTCTTAATCAGTCTAAGATATTGGTCTAGTTTGCAAGCTATGGTTTGCCCACAGCAGACTGTGGTTTGTTTCCTAGCAACAACCCATGATATAAAGCCATGGCTTCTTGTTGGCTCCCAAACTTTTAACTGCGGTTTGGTGTTATGGCTGAACCCAAAAGTCTTGCTTAACTATTGTTTATTTTGTCACCCTACACCAGACACTTCCCAAGCTACAGAGGCAAGAAACAAGCCATGACTAGAGGATTGAGGTTGAATCTCAACAAGAGAAAAGTACTGTTTCTGGGAGGCAGGGGGCTGGCAAATGTGGGGGATGCCCTGGTCCTGAATGGGGTAACTGTGCCACTAAAGAACCAGGTGTGCAGCCTTGGGGTCATTTTGGATTCATAGCTGTCCAGGGAGGCACCAGTCAATTCTGTGTCCAGGACAGCTGTCTACCAGCTCCACCTGGTGCAACGGCTGAGACCCTACTTGCCTGCGCGCTGTCTCGCCAGAGTTGTACATCATCTGGTTATCTCCCACTTGGACTTCTGCAATGTATTCTATGTAGACCTACTTTGAAGGTGACTAGGAAACTACAACTAATCCGGAATGCAGCAGCTAGACTGATGACTGGGAGCAGCCGCCACGGACCATATAACACGGGTCCTAAAAGATCTACATTGCCTCACAGTATGTTTCCGAGCACAATTCAAAGTGTTGGTGCTGACTTTTAAAGCCCTAAACGGCCTCAGCCCAGTATACCTGAAGGAGCATCTCCACCCCATTGCTCAGCCTGGACACTGATGTCCATATCCGAGGACCTTTTGGGGTTCCCTCACTGTGAGAAGTGAAATTACAGGGAACCCGGCAGAGGGCCTTTTCAGTAGCGGCACTTGACTTGTAGAAAGCCCTCCTATCAGATGTCAGGGAAATAAACAACTATTTGACTTTTAGGTAACATCTGAAGGCAGCCCTGTATAGGGAAGTTTTTGCTTGATGTTTTATTGTGTTTTTAATATTTTGCTGGGAGCTGTCCAAAATGGCTGAGGCAACCCAGTCAGATGGGCAGCATAATAATAATAATAATAATAATAATAATAATAATAATAATAGAGATGACTCATGATTTGTTGAACACAGCATGGTTAAAACAAACCATGGCATATGTATGAATGCAGCCTTTGTGAATACCATTTTGCCTACAAATATGGGACGACAATTTTCTGTTAATAAAGAGATCTAAAATGTGGGTAGAAGGAAAGGGTAGCTGCCTGTGCAAAGCTATTCGCCAGCCTTCAAAAGAGTGGTGCAGCCATTTTATTAGTTTAGGGGACAATACCGAGAAAATGAGGACACCTTTTCAAGGAAAACGAATCTGAAAAAAGGCACCTTGTTCACAGAAAGTACAATCTCAGGGACTTTCCAGACAAATGCCATTACTCAGCTGTTGTGGGAAGTCCAGATGTCCTCTCAGCTTGCTCATTCAATGTGTGTTGTGGGTATATATATCTCAGCTAGCCTGCGAACTGAGAGCTAATCAGATTTGTGGCATTGGAGAAATGTGATTCTATGGGCTGCCATTCTTCTAGCATAAGAGTGTGATAGAAAAAGTTTCACCTGCTATATTTATGTGAATCAGGCTGCTCTTAAAACCACAGGGTCAGTAGGGCTACTCTCTCCACAAAGCTGCAATCCTAGTGATCGCTCTCCTATATTCACCATAATTCATATCCCCCAGCAGTACTTTAATTGCGAAGTCTGCACCTATTGGTTTGTTCCCATTTCATACAACTTCTATTTTTTCATGACTGCTGGATGCTCCCCATACCGCTCCAGCAGTGTGTTTGCTTGTGTGGTGTGTGATGAGGAACTGAGCAAATACTGAGATAATTCTTCTAATGTGCTGTCATTTGGTGAACTTTCTGGGTTTCTTTTTCATTTCAAAGGCTACTTCTTCATTCCCAGTTCCACTTACCCACTTCTTCTGAGAGCAAGTGAAATTGACAAATTCCCTATGCAAATCAGACTGTGGGAACTGACTATAATGCTGTGGGTGTTTCTGAGAGAACTGTAGACAGAAAAACACATGGGCGCCTTGCCCTTTGTACGATTCTGTGAACAACCTCCCTTCCCCTGAACAATATTATCCCCAGCCTACTACCCTACAGTGTCAATTAAGAACTCAAAAGGTCCAAACCAGGGCTGGTCTTTAATGAACTCAGATCATGGGCCATATCAGCCTCAGTCAATAGAGCATGAGGTTTTCAATCTCAAGGTAGTCCAGTAGCACCTTAGAGACCAACTAAGTTTGTTCTGGGTATAAGCTTTCATGTACATGCACACTTCTTTAGACACACATGCACACGAAAGCTTATACCCAGAACAAACTTAGTTGGTCTCTAATGTGCTACTGGGCAATTTTTAATTTGTATATATATATATATTTCAACTACGTCAGACCAACACGGCTGGCTACCTACCTGAATCTCAGGGTTGTGGGTTTGAGCCCCACATTGCGCAAAATATTCCTGCATTGTAGAGGATTGCGGTCCCTTCCAATTCTACAATTCTATGATTCTTTGATTCACAGTTCTGTGATTCCATCTCTCCTTCCAGCAGGGTTATTCCAGACTTCTTCACCAGAGTAAGATGAGAGGGTGAAGGCACATAAACAGAGCAGCTAAGTAATTTTGGACCTGGAGTAAAGAGTCTTCTGGGAGCCCCTTTAGGTGGTCATATGTATTACTTAAATTGTAAGACACACAATTAACACCCCCCATTGCTCTCATTCCCAATTTTACAACTGCTTCTACATTTATAATACATTAAAGCCAACAAACAAACAAAAGATTGCCAACCCTATAAAGGAAGAAGAAATATCCTGAAAACGTGCATTTTAAACTCACTTAAATCTTAGCACCATTCCTGAATACAGGAATAAACTGGGGGTTGCTTCTGTTGCCCTGATGCTAAGCACGTTTACTTGGGAATAAGCACCATTTGTTGTAGAAAAGGATAATGCATTTGCTTACGATGGAGAACTCAATCATTAGAGCACAAGACTCTTAATCTCAGGGTTATGGGTTTGAGATTCCTGCGTTGCAAGGGCGTCGGGCTAGATAATCCTCGTGGTCCTTTCTATGATTTTAAGTCAAAAAAATAAAAAAAATAAGAATCCTTAATGGTGTACATGGCTGCCCGGCTGCCCCTTGACTATGATTTTATTTTTTAAAAAATATGGAGGAGGAAAGAATGATGCTGGATCTGTTTGCTCCTCATCTCAAATTGCCACTTTCTGAGTGGTCATTTGAGTGGGGTGGGGTGGGAAAGGTAGCAGCAGGGGTCCCCTGGACTGTGTGACTCTGATATTTGGCCCAGAGGTCCATTCCTATTTGTTCCACTGGCCCTATAGTGGCAGCAGTGACAGTGAACTTTCTGCTTGGCTCTTTCTGGGTCCTCAAATTCAATACAGAATGGAAGGCAGTAGCCTTTATCAGGTGTGCTCAAAGGCAATATATCTGGCACAGTTCCAGGTTGCGTGGCACTGGGTCAGTCTTCCTCCACCCCAGTCCTAAGCACATTGGCTTGGAAATTAAGTCTCGCTTGCTTCTAGAGACTCTTATTCAAGTGTAGTAATAGCTGCTGAAGCAAGTCGTTGGAGGCTCACCACCTACATTAATAATAGCCTGCTTGCTCTTTTGTAGCACATTTCACTCAAGAACTCCCACCATGCTTTACTAGTGTAATTATAGAGGCACCAACAATTTTAGACACAGAATTTCCAAAGAAAATATAAAGGTGGGCTTTAGAACAATGGGCTGAAGCCAGACTAAGCTAGCTGAAGTCTGTTTTCATTAAAATCAACTGGAATTGAGTCACGGATAACTTGAATTCAGGGAGTAGACATAGTTAGGCTCGCAGCCTCAGTTTTGCTCTAACCCTACGCCTGCCCTTTCCACTTTTTGCTTTTTCGAAACCACACATTCCTAAATGCTTTTCTCTCCTCTGTTGTTTGGTCAGCTATGCACGAAAAAGAACCAGGTGCTGTACTGACTAACTGCCTATATAGAGGAGCAATGAATGAATGTGTTTGCTGGCATAGAGCTGCTAAGCGCAGAGATGCAACACTTTGAACTGCAGAGCCACATCCCCCCCTTTTAATCTCTCTCAATTATAGTAATTTTAGGTGTTATTTGTAACTGCAGGAGGCATGAGCTTTCTGCAGGGCAATTTTTCTGTTGATGCTTTCTCTTTGAAGGCCTGTCCTCAGGTATCCACTCCAGAAAGGGTCTAATGGTGTTTTTCCAAGTGATGTGTAAATTGGTTCCTGTGTTTCTCACATCTGTAATTTGAAGGCAATCAGATGTACGCTTGATTTAAAATGATCTGTTTTCTGCCTCACATTAACAATGTTTACCAGTGACACATTCGGATCTAAGGCTGCAGTCCTGTACGCTTACGCGGCAGAAGGTTCTATTGAACCCATCAGGATTTACTTCGGAGCAGACATGCAGAGGGTGACACTTCAAAAGTATTAGTAGCATCAAAAATTTCCTTCAACCTGGAGATATACTCAGAAGTCCTATTTATTTCAGTAGGACTTTGGGCCTAGGAAAAAGGGATAGATTCTCCACCAACCAAAACCTTTGTGTATTCACATATATCACTGATGATCATTTATACTTCCAAACCACCCATCAGTCCTTAAAATCACAGAGTGGTGTACAAATAAAGTACAGTTCACAACAATCTAGCAATAAACTAAAAACCATAAAAAGCAACAATTATTAAGTGATTCAGGCACCACCTTCCTGCCCCAAATGCCTGTGTAATGAGATGCACTTTTAGCACCTGCTAAAGTCAGCAGTGAGGGGACAACTATTTTTCCACAATAGTTCCACAGCCACAGAGAAGGCCGTGTCCCACTCTGCAGCAGAAGAGACACTACCCATCAACCATGCAACACGACCACTTTGTCTAAAAGGGTGATATTGGCCATTGGGAGGTATCAGTCAAATACTGCAGGGTCAAAGGGGTGCCTTTTGAGGAGGAACCATGCCATCACTTCTGTCAAGGTGGGTGGCACCACGACCATCCTGTTCCCCAAAGACTACCCCCTGGAATCATCCTCGGCCATACTAGCTGGTCCCATTACTGTTCACAGTTGCACCAATCTGGACCAAACCAAGCAGTTTTCTCCAACCGGGTGCTCTCCAAATGTATGTTGGACCACAACTCCCATGATCCTTCGCCAATGGTCATGCTGCCTAGGGCTGGTGGAAGCTGTAAAAGCACTAGGTTGGAGATGAGTGGAAGTTTATCCTATCATCTATCTATCTATCTATCTATCTATCATCTATCTATATCTATCTATCTATCTATCTATCTATCTATCTATCTATCATCTATATCTATCTATCTATCTATCTATCTATCTATCTATCTATCTATCTATCTATCTATCTATCTATCATCTATATCTATCTATCAATCATCTATCTATATCATCTATCTATCATCTATCTATCTATCTATCTATCTATCTAATCTATCATCTATCTATCTATCTATCATCTATCATCTATCTATCTATCTATCTATCATCTATCTATCTATCATCTATCTATCTATCTATCTATCTATCTATCTATCTATCTATCATCTATCTATCTATCATCTAATCTAATCTAATCTAATCTATATATCATCTAGAGCGGGTTGGGACATGTTGGTAGAGGTGTGGCACATATATGGTAGTATGTGGGTCAATCTGCTTGTATCGTTGCTACAAAGCCATGGCTTGCAATGCTAATGGAGCAATACAAAGACCTAGCTGTAAATCAATTAACATTCATGGAATATGTATTGATATTTTTTGACAAGCACTTACCGAATATTCCCAAGAAAGTATGGAAATAATTTTTAGCTTGTTAGAGCTCATCTGCAAGGATGTATGAGCTGTGTATGGCATAAGGCAAAGGACAAGCCAAGGTCTCAGATTGTTTTAAGACTAAATGAGAGTAAGAAGTTAATCTTGATGGACACTTGATTGCATAAGTGCACCTTGTACCTCCAGCTTAACTCTTGCACAAACAATGGCTTTTGTTTCTAAATATCTGGAAGTGATAAGCAGGCAATATTACATAAAGGCAAGGTTTTATGTTGCATAAGATATTAAGAGGGCTAACAAACCGCTGATTTTTAAAAAACAAATCATGTGCCCAGCTAAATATTTTCTTTTAAGGCATTGGATTTCTCTCTCTTTAGAATGGCCCACATTTGATTTCTTTAGCTTGAACTTCTAATCTTAGGAGTTTGCCTTTTTTTTTTTTTGGAAACACAGAGGCAACCATTTCTGCCATTCGCCTCTTTTTTGACAAACAGAATAATGAGGATGGACAGGAAAACCTTGTAGTTTGCCTACTGCTTTGTAGTCATAGAAAAGATTTCACTATCTTCCTATGTCTTCCATTTATTATAGTTCTATCACTCTTTACAAATATTTATTTAGCCATTCAGAATTTTCCACTGGAAGAAATTTCAAACTCTTCTTGACAGTTTACTCTGCTACTTTTCAGGTAATAAACAGGTATGAAATCATCTAACTGAATATTTCTGAGTTAAACCCATTGCCCTTTCCTTAGTAGCAAGGTAAAAAATATATTTTGGGTAACCTTCTTTTAGACATCTAAAAGGTTATGGTTATGTCTCACCATAATCTTGTTTCCTTTGGGCTGAGGTTACACTGTAACCTGCAGATCCTCTTTACAAGTTGAAGCAAGATGGCAAAAAAGTTGGCTAGCTTTAAAAGAGGATTAGACAAGTTCAAGACTAACAATGGCTACTAACCATAATGTCTGTGTTCTGCTTCCACTTGTTGGAGGCCTCATGCTTCTGAATAAGAGTTTATGGAAACCATGGAGGTGGGTGGGGGTTCTGATTATGAGCTTCCCATAAAAGATAAAGGTAAAGGGACCCCTGACTGCATAGGCAGCTGGTTAACCACGGTGATAACAATGCTGGTTTAGATGGGCCACTGGTCTGGTGTAGCAGACCTTATGTTCATCTTCATTTGCATGCCACCTTTCCAAGGTTGAACCATGCTTAAGGCAGCTTGCAACTTCAAAACATTTACATAATTACAAAAATCTAGCAAAATTCAAGTAGTCATAAACCATAAATGAAAACAATTCAGTAGGTATACAATAAAATCCAACAACCCCCAAAGAATTCATAATAAGGTCTAACAAGAAAGATACAAAAGCCAATCACAGCAAACGTTAAGCACCTTCCAATAAAACCTTGTCCCCAATAAAAACTCTTGAAAAATACTTCACCCCAATAATCTTTAGAACAGCAGTTCTCGCAGGTCAGATGCTCTGAGGCCCATTCAGCGGCTTTTGTAAAT